CGTTGGGTTCTGACGTCAATCTGACGTTGGGTTCTGATGTCAACTCGATTTTCATTTTCAACCAAATTACAACGTCAATCTGACATTGGGGTCTGACATCAATCTGACGTTGGGTTCTGACATCAATCAGACGTTAGATTCTGACGTCAATCCGACGTTGGGATCTGATGTCAATCTGACGTTGGTTTCTGATGTCAACTCGATTTTCATTTTCAACCAAATTACAACGTCAATCTGACATTGGGGTCTGACATCAATCTGACGTTGGGTTCTGACATCAATCAGACGTTAGATTCTGACGTCAATCCGACGTTGGGATCTGATGTCAATCTGACGTTGGTTTCTGATGTCAACTCGATTTTCATTTTCAACCAAATTACAACGTCAATCTGACATTGGGATGTGACGACAATCTGATGTTGGGTTCTGACATCAATCAGACGTTGGATTCTGACGTCAATCCGACGTTGGGATCTGACATCAATCTGACGTTGGGATATGACGTTGGGTTCTGACGTCAATCTGACGTTGGGTTCTGACGTCAATCTGACGTTGGGATGTGACGACAATCTGACGTTGGGTTCTGACGTCAATCAGACGTTGGATTCTGACATCAATCCGACGTTGGGATCTGACGTCAATCCAATGTTGGGATCTGACGTCAATCTGACATTGGGATATGACGTTGGGTTCTGACGTCAATCTGACGTTGGGTTCTGACATCAATCCGACGTTGGGATCTGACATCAATCCGGCGTTGGGTTCTGACGTCAATCTGACGTTGGGTTCTGATGTCAACTCGATTTTCATTTTCAACCAAATTACAACGTCAATCTGACATTGGGGTCTGACATCAATCTGACGTTGGGTTCTGACATCAATCAGACGTTAGATTCTGACGTCAATCCGACGTTGGGATCTGATGTCAATCTGACGTTGGTTTCTGATGTCAACTCGATTTTCATTTTCAACCAAATTACAACGTCAATCTGACATTGGGATGTGACGACAATCTGATGTTGGGTTCTGACATCAATCAGACGTTGGATTCTGACGTCACGTTGGGTTCTGACGTCAATCAGACGTTGGATTCTGATGTCAATCCGACGTTGGGATCTGACGTCAATCCGACGTTGGATTGAATGCCTCGTTTATAATGGGTTTTCATGTTTTTGAATCATCGCTCCGGCCTGACAGGGCATCATCACAATATGGTGAGGGGCGTAACATTTCCGTCACACGCTTGAGGTATTCGGCCAATCACAACGCACTGGATAGCTGGCCAATCAGAGCACACCTCGCTTTTCAGACCGATGAGCTTTGTAAAAATCGACACGTTTCAGAAAGACGGGGCATAGAGGAGAAACAATAATGTACAGTATGTGGAAAATAATGTGTTTTTTAACCTTAAACCGCATAAACACGTTTCATTACACCAAATACACAAAATAATGTTCTTTTTAGCAACATGATATGACCCCTTTAACTTTTTATTCATCAAAGAATCCATAGTATCACGTTCCAAAAAAAATATTAAGCAGCACAACTGTTTCCAACATTGATAATAAATCAGCAAATTAGAATGATTTCTGAATGATAATGTGACACTGGATTAATGACTGTTGAAAATTTTATTTCACAATATTAAAAAAAAAAAATCTGTATTTTTGATCATGCCTTGATGAGCATGAGACTTCTTTAAAAAAAAAAAAACATTAAAAATCTTACTGATCCCAAATTTTTTATGGAAGTTGAGGGAAGTTTCCTGTCTGAATATCTCAGTATAAAAAACAGGCAATCTCTGTTTTAGTTTTTCTTTATTGCCAGAAACAAGCTGTTCTGGTAAACCATACACTTTGCACACAAAAATAGTCTATTTATTTAAAAATGCAATCAACACCCATTAGTGCAGCTATGAATTAAGCACAGAGATTGTGCTTTTTGTCAAGCTGTGAAGAGCCCAGTGATCTTCGGTGCTGCATGAAGCCTTCTAATTGGCCGCGGCTGAGCCACCTCACACATTCAGCTTGTTAAATCTGAAAAGTCTGTCGCTGCCCTCAGGCCATTTGTCTCTGGAAATTTACAGGCCACAAACTCACAGACATGGTTCAAAACATTACTTCCGCTGACACATTAGTACTAAAATTGCTCTGTGTTCAGAAATTGAGCAAACAAATTTTAAGACATGGATACAAAGATGCAAACACAAACACAGCATTTACACAACACTGCTAGAGTTATCAATGAGGATTGCTTTTTTATTTAAACTTAGGAAGCTCAAGAACTGTGCTTGATATGTTTCTGACTATTGCTGTTTTGTGCTCATGGCTAGCTAGAAATAAATGATCAACATGATCAAAGAATCTGCATTTAAAAGCCCTACACCAGAAAACTAAAGTAGTAAGGCCAGCTATGATATGAAAATAGACGTTACAACCCAATACATACTCTACTAACTAGTACTAACTACTAACAAGCTCATAGATAGATACAGCAGCTTTGCTAGTGCTCTTACAGTGGAGGTCCATGGAGAGTATAATTGCATGTTTGTATGCAGATATTTACTAATTTATTTTGCACTGAACACACTGAATTTTGTTCTTGTTTCGGAGGGCAGCATGTTTATTAATGATGCCTGATGGATAGTCTGTCTCCCAAATGTTCCTGGTCTGACTACATGCCAAGCTAGATGGAGTAACTGTGTGTGTGTTTCACTATCCTTATGGGGACAAAATGTCAGAAAATATCCCCACAAGGATATCTGTAAGTGTGTCTGAAAGATGACTATGCAAGTCTAGGCAGTCTCAGAAAGAACAGCCATCACCGTGTCGGCCTGCTTAGCCAGCTTTGTGCTGGTGTGAGCGGACAGTTTGGACAGGGTGTCCCACAGGTTTAGAGACGTTATCTGCTCCCTTAACATGCCTGTAGGAGAAAAAGAAGAGGGTAAAGAGTAACACATAGTTTAGTTCAAAACCAGGGCTTGCTATTAGGGATGCATGATATTATCGGAACGATATCGGAATCGGCCGATAATGGCTTAAAATGTAAACATCGGCATCGGCCCGATATGAAAAATTATGCCGATATGCCTTGCCAATAAGAGGAATAACTCACATGTGCTCTGGGTGTGCTAGCAATAAGATTACATCAGCAGATATGGTCATTCTTGAAGCAAACTTTTGCCTGAATGGTGATTAGATTAGTTGTTTTGAATAATGCGTTATTTGTGCGAGAAAGTCAACAGTCACTAGCACGCACAACAGCAGCAGCAGCAGCGGCAGCCTCCCCCGGGTCCTAATGCTCCTCCTGTAAGTCGTTTTATTTTCTTAGGGGGCGCTGTTGGCCTACTTGTAATAGACTGAAAGTAAAATGCGTTTCTGATTAAATTAAGCAGTAATCAATGTCACAAAATCACGAGTATGCTTTGATTTAAAGTCAGAAGTTATAGCTTACATCACGGGTGCCCAAACTCGGTCCTGGAGGGCCGGTGTCCTGAAGAGGTTAGCTCCAACCCCAATTAAACACACCTGAACCAGCTAATCAAGCTCTTACTAGGCGTACTAGAAACTTGAAGGCAGGTGTGTTGAGGCAAGTTGGAGCTAAACTCTGCAGGACACCGGCCCTCCAGGACCGAGTTTGGGCACCCCTGGCTTACATGAATAAAAATCACAAAAATGACACTTGTAAATTAAATACTTTTATATATACAGATCTATTCATTCATGTGTAATATGTTTGTTTTTTTTCAAATGGATTATGAAACTTAAATATAAGGAACTCTTTTGCTTTAGATCATCTACAAATGTTAAATCTTCAAATAAAATGTTAAGGTTACCACTGCATTTGTCTGAAAAAAAAAAAATAAAATAAATAAATTAAATGCAGTAATTGATTTATAGTTAATGTATAGTTATTTTCAGCTTTCAGTGTACTCTCATTATAAAATAAATTCATTAATTGTTTATTTAATTCTAACAAGTAAGTTTTGTAAACTAACCAAAATTAAAAATAATTTGTTGATAATCTCTGCGCAGGAGAGACTTGGTGTTTTTATAACTGGTGTTTTTATAAAAGGAAATATATCGGTATCGGCATCGGCTATCGGCCAAAATTAGTTGAAAAATATCGGCATATCGAATATCGGCCAATATCGTCCAATCCCTAAAAATCCAATATCGTGCATCCCTACTTGCTATATTCACAGAATCTTGTAATTTCAATCTTCACAGAGAGTTTGATTAGTTAATAAGTAGTAATCTAATACAGAACTCTCAGGAAACTGAGTTCAGTCTTTGGTTGTTCCACAGTGTGTTATTTTGCAGTACTGACTAGAGTTGGCAAGGCTGCAGATGAGGCCTAAAGTGCTGAATTTGACCTCCACGGCCACAAGAGGGTTATCTAGCATCTTCTGCAAGGTGGGAAGGAGATCTGAATCCCGAAATGGTTCTTGGACTGCCTCTGCACAGAAGAGAAAGTGGCACATGTTTACTGGAATGTCTATTTGCACTATATGGCTATTTAAACTTACTAACTTTGCCCACTGTTGTCTGCTAGAGCCAAATAAAATTACATTAAGACACACATCTGATATCAGGAGCAGGGGTGTTGAGAGTACAGAAGGTGGATTTAGCTTTTGACACAACCAACTTGAGTTCGAATCAGCCTTTTTCCAATGCCATTCTTCTCCCTTTTCCTATCAAATATCAGCTTGTGATTTCAGGGTTTATCACAATTTATATATCTGTGTCTGCAGATTTACATAGAAATGCATATCTTTGAGGGTCGAGGATGGTTCTACATTCTGTTAATATAGTCTTACCGATGTTTATTGCAGAGGCAATGGCCAAAGCGACTAAAGCCTCATTCTGCATGATGACGTGCTCACTGGTTGCCATTGAGATGAGATGTTGGACTCCATCTGCTTTAATGACAGTGTGGATGACTTCCTTTAAAGACAACAGAGGGGGATATTTTATACAAGCAGGAGCAATGACTATAGTTACACATACTCTGTGTGTCTAAAAACTCACAGGGTTTCCGCTGTGTCTTATAAGAGCTGCTAATAGACGGTTGGCCTCGCCTCTGACACCGGCATGATCTTTAGCCTCGCACCACTCCATGACCCGTGCTAACAGAACCTCATCCTTCCCTAAAACTGAAGCCGCTTCCTCTACAATAGAAATGAAGAGAGAAAATATGCTAAAAAAATAAGTGTTGATACTTTAATATACAAATAAAAAAAGAGATACTGTTGCAGGTTTGTTTACCTCTTTAATTAGTAACTCAGATCACCTTTGGTAAGGGAAATAATAACTGGAGTGCAGACAGTAATTTAGTGTGTCAAAGCCATTGCAGGCCTTTTGTCTGAATACAAGGTTATCTAAAATAACACACTTCACTGACGGGCTGGAAATTACAGCCTCTACGTACCCTTTGTAAGGAGAAATGTTAATTCATCAGCCATCATAGTCATTTGGCAGGTAATTGTATAGTTTAGCAAAGCTTTTGTCTAAAAATTACAACATGTTGTTTGTCATGCCCTCCTCTTAAACAGCCAAATTTTACTTTTTTACTACCACTGGGACTGTCACACTTATTCAGTCTTTACATTTTATGCATTTAAGAGTCACTTTTCTCCAAAGCGACTTACATTGCATGCAAGTTCATTTTATAAGTTTATGCAAACTAGTCTCTTTAATCTGTGACCGAACAATTCACATAAATGCAGTTTTCTTGCATCATTACCTTGGCCGTCCACCATCATGCGCAAAGTGCCCAGCAGTTTGAACTGGACGGGGGGCATGTCAGAGCGCAGAAGGGTCCTGATCCTCTCTGTGACTCCATCCTCCAACATACGCACCTTATTGGAAGCTACATCAGGAAAACAGAGAGAGCAAGATGACAGATCTAACCACAGACAAGCATAACAGAAAATATAAACCTGCTAAAAAGTCCAATCTGTACTGGCAGTATGTTCTTTCTAGTGAAGTTGGCTGACCGAAGAAGTCTTGCTGGTTAAGTTGGTTAAGAAGCCTGCTGGAAACACCTACACACTTGTATCTGTCCCTGCAATAAACTACACTATATGCAGGTGATAACCCATGTTGTTCTTTACAAACTCAAAAAAATTTTTTTCAAATACTACTGAATCTTTATAATAAAATGTATCACAGTTTTCACCAAAAATATTAAGCAGAAAACTGTTTTCAACAATAAGAAATGTTTCTTGAGCACCAAATCGGCATATTAGAATGATTTCTGAAAGATTGTGTGGCACTAGACTTTCAGACTAGAGTAATTAATGTCTGCTGTAAATTCATTACGTTTATAATATTTCACAATATTACTGTTTTTACTGTATTCCTGGTCAAATAAACACAGCCTTGGTGAGCATAAGACTTACACATTAAAAAAATCTTACTGACTTTTATACAGCATATACTGAAAAGGAAAGCAGAACCTGGGATGGCAAGATTTCTAAGTGCACTGAGGCCAGCATGCTGCACAGATACATCTCCCTCTGCTACATGCTGCTCCAACAGGTCCAGAATATGAGGAACAACTCCTAATTCCAACATCTTTACACAGTTGCTGTCTAAGAACAAAAGAAAGAGAAAACTATGCTCAGTAATTTTAACTGCAGTAACGTTTGAGTGATAATTTCAAACAAAAACTTTATCATACTCTACAACAACTCCATATTTATCTCCTCACCATTTCTGGCAAAGTTAGCAATGGCCAGGGCTCCTGACAACTGCAGCTCAGTATTTGATGACTGCAGCCAGGAGAGAACATCCTGATACACCATCCCCGTCCCTTCCCCAAAACACTTCTGCATTGATTCATCTGTAACAAAAGGCAGATGATGCTAGAAAAGGACTAAATTCTTAAAATAAAATAAAACAGAATTGCACTACTCTTGCACTGACTGCATTGTTGACATTTTCATTTGACTCCCTTATTGTCTATGGTTGATAATCTAATGGATTCATAATAAAATAGTCTAAATAGATAAAAAACAATTCCATTGTAAGATGATGTTATTGGTGAAGTAATGGAGAGAGACCTACCTCCCAGTAGGAGGGTCACTATGAGGTTTGAGCCCACTTTTATGCTGCAGAGGTCATGTGTGTCAGAGCCACCCTGAAGAGTTCGAATCATTTCAGAGAGAGCCTCGGGCACGCCTGCTTCCACAAACTGCAGTTTCAGAGCATCTAGAAGACATGAACATGCTGTCACACAGGGAGTTGCAAGGGCACACACAAGTACATTTTTAGTTCTCTTCTAGACAACATCACATAGAATAGTGACTGAGGCAAAATTTCAACCAAAGTGCGCTATACGAATAATGTTATATGATGCAGGCTCACATATAGATCTGGTTTGAATATTATGCTGCTCACCACTCTCTCCCAGTGACCCAAGAACCTCTAGTATGAGATGCCGGCGTTCTGCATCTGGTGCCCGCTTCAGCTGATAGGTCAAGACCTCCGCCACACCCACTTCCACCAGAGCCTCTCGTGCAGCATCTAGTAAATCACAATCAGTCACTAGATATTAGAAATATCATGAGAAAAAATACCCGAGTGTTTCTGTAAATAAGAATAATTGAGAATGGGGTGGTTATGAAAACAAGACTGCCTCAGTCTTGCAGATGCACAATATAGTGGTAGCATATTGGTTATTGTATGTCGGTTTAGACATATTGGCCAGTTTTGTGTATTATGTAATTGTGCATGCTCTTTCCCCCTATTTTTACATTTAAATTACATTTGTCATCATCTAAAGCTCACTTAATGGTAATCTTTAAAAAAAAAAAAAATGAAAACATTTAATAAAACTGTTAAATGTAATCATTAGAAAATCTCAAAATGAATATCCATTTTTCATATAGTACATTATTATGTTGTTGTGATGCCTAAATTCACTATTTACTATTTAAAATGATTCATTTTAGATTAATAGATTAATTTCTTGATTCTTTTTTTAATACCAGCCATTTATCGTTATGTAAATTTTAAAAAATGAATTAATTAATAGTCGTGTATTGTTATGAAAATCAATCAGTCAATCAATAAATGCATACATACATAGGTATCCACTAGAATTTTAAAACTGGTATATTGCTACTCAGTGTGACAATGTCCAGTCTGTTAGTGTTTTTATTATATATGATTTTAAAGCTTCCCTGCTCTCTATTTTTATCTTACCCACATCAGCAAGGTTGCAGAGTGCCAGCAGGCAGACGTTTACCAGCGGGTCATTCTCAGGATACTGCTGCATTATGGCCACCAGCCTGGGGATTACACCGTTCTCCACCAGCTGCGTCTGCTGAACAGCTGAGAGAGAGAGAGAGAGAGAGAGAGAGAGAGACAGGGAGGACGGGTGAGTGGGCAAGCACAGACAGCCAAGAGAGGAATGGGCATTGCAGCTATAGAAGAGCTATAGAAGAATATAATGGAGAAAAGAGCACAGGGAATGAGTGGTAATTTATTTTATTCTGAATGTCAGTAATGAATACTCAATATGAACAGGATGTCGTAAGCCAAGCCTCAACAAAACAAGAGCAGAATATTTGTATTATAACTTCATATTTACAGCATCTTGTTAGATATAGGACATTTTTACTTATAGGACTGATCATAGACAGCATAACCAACCTGAGGAACAGCTACCAAGCCGTCATTGGAATATGAAATTCAACATAGACCTGGACAGAAGTGCTGGTGCTTTCTAGAAGAACACTTTCAGCACTAAGACTGAGAAAACTAGGCCAGGAGATGGCAATAGAAGAGAAAGACAATCCAAGGACTTATAAAGACAAGCATCCCTCCAAACAAGATGTCTTTATACCACACTCAGAAAAAAAGGTACAAAAGCGGTCACTGGGGTGGTACCTCTTCAAAAGGTACACTTTTGTACATTTTAGGTACTAATATGTACAATTTAGGTACTAATATGTACCTTTAAGGTACCAATATGGACTCTTTAGGTACAAAGGTGTGCCTTTTGAAAAGGTACCGCCCCAGTGACAACTTTTGTATCTTTTTTTCTGAGAGTGTAGATGCAGACCAACAAACCATAATACCAGGAGAACTGCAGGTTCAAGAAGTTGAAGGATGAACAGAATCAAGATTCTGACATTTACTATTCATATTAACTCTGTGGTAAGAAAGAAAACTGTTTCTAAGTGGAATTGTGCGACCAACTGGAGACACATAAAGACTGTCGGTGAGAAACACGATCAGCTTGACTGCCACTATCCAGATCCAATGCACTCACCATTTTCAAAGCAGATACGTCCAATTGCTCGGCCCGTGTGCAGGAGCTGGTCTTGGTCTGGGCTGTTCAGTAAAGGCACTAATGCGGTCACCAGACCTGCTTCAATACAGCGCTCCCTCACAGCAGCTAGCACACAAACAAAAATAATGGTTGCAAAAAGTTTTGTTTGGTTTTTGGGGGGGTTTTTTTGCTGAGATGCCACAGAAGAACCATTTTGGGTTCCCCAAAGAACCTTTCAGTGAACAGTTCTTAAAATAACCATTTATTCTTAGTGAAAATTTAGACGTTTAGACATTATTTAGTCCCTCTATCAAGCTATTTATAATATAGGGTTTTGCTGAAAGTTTTATCATCATTGTGGGGACGTTAGGTTCATACATGGTTACAAACATGAACATTTGTAAACATTTTTAGTGAAAGTCATGAAAATTTCCGCCACAGTATAATTTCCAGCACATCTCAATACGTTGTCTGAAATGTAAATTGCACTTTGTGTTAGAAATGACACTAAGGGAAATTATATTTTTTAAACTTTTTTTCTGTAATAAAATGACAGATTCTTTTGTCTTGCTAAGGTTAATTTCATAGCTAGCATGTATCCTAAATACAATTCAATCATATTTTCACACTTACAGTAACATAATTTGACAAAACTATGGCTTGACTGGAAATGACACATAATGAAAATTATTCTGTTCAAAAGTAAAATTTACCTTGATTTCTCTGTTTCCTTCACATATACATGTCTCATATTTACATTTACAATTTTATCCAAGTGACTTACAAATGAGGAACATAAGCAAGTCACTACAGAGCCAATAATATTCATAGTACATTTCATTTCCAAAAAAAAAAAACTACTATGGTCAAATTGGTGGTGGTGTAAATGGCAAAATTCTGTCCCTCATTGATATAAATCATTTACATTTACATCAATACATTTTGAAATGGTTTGTTTATTTAACACTTTGTGTAGATTATCACAGTTTTAATCTATAAATAAAAGGCATTTGAAAATAATTTCTATGCATAAGATTTTCATAAAACAAAAACAACAACAACCCATGAGACATAAAAGTGTCCAAAGCTGAAGAAATACCCATATAAGCAACAAACTGTATTATAAATCTCATTTACCTTCTCTGGCCATCTCTGCCACCAGTAAGGTGACCTGAGAGGTGAGGGGACTCTTCTTCCTCAGGACTTGAGCAAGTATGAGCAAAACACCACTGGACACTATTTTCTCTGCTGTTCCTTTCTCTGGGGATAGAAATAAATGTGATTGTTTTCTTCGCATGTTGGTAATTTCATATACTTATATCATATAAATAAATGTATGTGTTTATTTGGCTAAAATACTTTATAGGTATGTGTGCTCTGTTTTTGTATACTGGATATCACCACTAAATAAAACCAAACTGAACACTTTAACAAAGCTTCCCTATTTTTCAAATCAGTGTCAAATCAAGTTCTGACTGCACTTTCTTCCTGATAGCTCATCCTGTTACTTCACATTTTATTTTATCTCCTCCCTCAGGTTTTGTTCCGTGCACTTCAGGGATGCTTTGACACCGAGGCCTCAGAGTAATCCGTTCAAATTCAAAGTGGTATATGAGGATCTGCTTCGGAGACAGAGATACTAGCAGGAGGAAATCTGTCATTAAAGCATGTTTTCCTCAAGAACAATTTCCACAAGGGCCACAGTGGCAGGTCAAGCTGTCAGAGGAAGCCTAGCTGCCATGGTGACATCTACTTTGTGTTCTTTTGTGGGGGCTGCTTTTCCATTTTTAGATGCATTTGTGATCCGAAAACACAAGGAGTGTGCCAAGAAGGACAGCTGGTGCAAACTAATTTGCGAGAATGAGCAGAAGATGGGGAGTGAAATGGAGAAAAGAAGAGAAAGATTAATGAGATTAACCCGTTCTCTCCTTTGCCTTCCCTCTCTCCCTCTCTCAAATGTAAATGCGGATTACTTGTCTCCTACTTGAGCCCCAAATCTGCTAGCAGGTAGATAAACTGACCCTCTGCTGCCCCCTACATTGGATTGTCTTCCTACACACACACACACACACACATACACACATATAGTACTTCAAGGAGGCAGAGGCAAATAGCAGCTCACAGCAGGATGAGTGTGTAATGAGTGCGATGCTAAATGGTACACTCACTCAGTAAGGCTTCTAGCAACAACAGACGTCACTTTCACATGTGATCACGCTTTTTACAGGCTCTCATAAGGGTCACGGCACCAGGATTGGATGTTGCAATAGACAAACGTATAGATATGAATGAAAAAACAGGTTTATGGAATGATGGGTTGACAGATATATAATTAGATCGAAGGGTAGTTAATTGGTACATTGGCGTAAACTCACTCTTCTCTAATAGGAGATTGAGCAGAACATCCAGATGAGGCTTCAGCTCCTCCTCCACCAGCTCTGTGCTTACACTGATGGCTTTCAGGGCCTCACTGAGACATTCTGAAACACAATCATGAGCGTCGTCACCAACACCACTGCACAACATTTCAAACTAACAAGACATTTTCATGATGATTCATAACCATCTCCGTTATACTACAGATAGAGTTGAGTTTATCCATGTATTCAGTGAATTTGCCATGCACATTATCAGACTAAAATATAAAGAAGTAAACTGAATGTCTGTATTATGATTTGTCTCTATCTATCTACATCTGTATCTATCTATCTATATCTATTTATCTATATGCACATCTGCATCTATCTATCTATCTATCTATCTATCTATGTTGATATTGAATATTTATTTGTGCATGCTAATTTACTCTATTTTTCATTTAGATTATGTTTAAACATTTACTTTTAAAGCAATTGCAATTCAAGCATTTAAAGCAATTGATTCCAAGTCAACATGAAAAGGAAGCTGCAATTGTTTGTCATCCCTATTCTGACAGATATTTGAGTGAAATGGTTTCTTAAACAAGAAAAATGTAGAATGGGACCTGATTTTGTACATTGGGAATTGATTATAAGTCATTATAGAAGTCATTTTTTTCATAGAAATAACAATGCGTATGGATAAACTATTCTATATATCTATCTCTATCATTGTGTTGATATTGAATATTTATTTGTGCATGCTAATTTACTCTATTTTTCATTTAGATTATGTTTAAACATTTACTTTTAAAGCAATTGCAATTCAAGCATTTAAAGCAATTGATTCCAAGTCAACATGAAAAGGAAGCTGCAATTGTTTGTCATCCCTATTCTGACAGATATTTGAGTGAAATGGTTTCTTAAACAAGAAAAATGTAGAATGGGACCTGATTTTGTACATTGGGAATTGATTATAAGTCATTATAGAAGTCATTTTTTTCATAGAAATAACAATGCGTATGGATAAACTATTTATAATAAATATTGCAATATTCCACAAAAAAATAAGGAGTGTCAATTTTGATTCTATGGTGGTATTAAAGTTGAAATGAAGATCAAGCAATGTCAGCAAAGCAATTATCATCCTGTGGATAAACACGTCGATGTGATTTAATCTGCTGTGACATATCCCTATGTATATGTCTCTATAGTATACACTATCTGCAGCACACTATGACGGTCATTCCCCAGGCACACGAAGCAAACAGGGCCAGAATAAGAGAGTCTGTAAGTAATCACCCCGATAATCCCTGGTAAGCAGAGTAAAATTAGACATAGAGGAGGGCTATCATACCTTTCCCTTCCCCACACTCCCTGTGATCCATTCAAGCTCTCTCCATTATAGTTGTAAAGGGCAGGCTGGAAAGCTGCAGTGTGTATGAGAACTGGGCGGGGTTGAGGATACCCTGGGTCTGGGGTGTCTGACTCCCAGCAGTGCCCTTATAAAAACACCTACACGCTGAGGATACACCTCTTAGACAATGGGGTTCGGCTCACCAGGAGGGTTACCATTCGATTGCTACGACCCTAAGAAAGTGTGACCTTTAGATGCAGACGGTGTATCTGTTCAAAGTTATACCTTGTAATTACAGTTAACAACTTGCAGCAGAAGCTCAAAAAGGATTTACAAAGAAGAAGAGATTTGAATCACTTACCTAGGGTGACCATACCATTTTCACAGGACGCGTCCTGTGAAAATGGCACGTATGGTCACCCTAACTTACCTATGTCTGCCATGACCACAGGTCCACTGAATCTCTCTCCGAGTCTCGGCGGCGTGTGGTTAGAGAGGCAGCCCTCCACGAGACAGGATGGACAGCTCCAGCCCTGAGATCGCCTAAAGACAGTGAAGCAACCGTGCCTCGCCTCTCCTCTCCTCCTCACCCTTCCCGTTTGTGCTGATCACACATGCGTATTCCTCTGGTCCCTCGCTGTCATTCACTCTCTCACTTTCACTCTGCACCTCTCAGTGACGCTGCATCCACACTCTCTCTCTCTCTCTCTCTCTCTCTCTCTCTCTCTCTCTCTCTCTCCGATGCAATCCTCCCCACCCTGGTCCTCGGCTCTCTGGCAGTATTCTTGCTGCCTCTCCCTCCCTCCTCATAATACACTCTTAATCCTAAAGCTGCTCAAAGCTCATCAGTTGACAATTAGCCCTGGGAAGACGCTGAGGCTGACACTCTACCCTTAGTTCTTCTTAGACGTGTTTTCCATTGCAGTTGCACTCCTCCATCTTTGGGTGTTATTACAGCACAAACGTGAAACATGAACACTGGGCCTGTTGCCCAGGGGGTCTGGCGGCTATTTATCAAGATATTAGCATGGCCGTCTCAGTGGGGAAGACTCGTTTAAAGGGGTAGTTCACCTAAAAAATGAATTTCTTTATCATTTAATTATTTTATGTAATTCCAACCCGACTTCATTTCCTGTGTGGAATACAATGGAAGTCGTTTAGCAAAAGCTGCTGTATTTCTTTACAATGAACATGGATGGGGACCACTGACCAGGGACAGCTGTGTGCAGCCTGGACATTCTGCCTGGTAACTGCTTTTGTGTTCCACGTAAAAAAGAAAGTCATTAGGGTTTGGAACAACATGAAGGTATAGAGCCATTCACACCAAGAGCATTATTGATAAATATATTTGTGTCCACACCAACAGACATTAGTGCATTACAATTTATTACAAGTGCACTAGAGTTCTGCCATCTGTCACTTTAAATGCTTTAGTGCTTTAAAGTCTTGGATTCTGATTGGCTGTCAATGTTTTTAGATGGCTTATCTGTAGTGCACATTTATAATAAATAGAACATTATCGTGCACTTTTGTGGACGCTAATACATTTATCGTTATAGTTGCCTTTCTTGTTGTAAACAGGCCTAAATGATTCCTGATTCCAACAATATTGCTCCTCTTTGTTGTTATCATTATACAGGTACATCTCAATAAATTAGAATGTCATGGAAAAGTTCATAATACAGTTCATGCCACTATCAGTCACTTGCAGAGTTAAGGATTTTAATGGCATTGGGAATAAAAGACCTCTTAAACACCTTTTTGTTTGCTAAAGGAATTCGATAGCATCTTCCTGACCTCAAAGGCTCAAACTTACTAACGAGAGGATGAGAACTATCTGCTAGAATACTCCTCACCACCTTCTTTGTCCTTTCAGTGTAGAGTTGTGTTAAGGGCTTCTGTATCCTACCTACTATTTTACTTGCCATTACCACAATTCTGGACAGTTTGTTCTTGGATTTGCAGTTTAAATGATCGTACAAGGCAGGAATATGAAAAGTGAATACACTCTCAACAATGGATTTGTACATTAGTTCTAGAATATCCTGACTGACACCAAGGCTGCTCAGTTGTCTAAGAAGAAAGAGTCGCTGTGAACATCTTTTGAAAATATACTCTGTGTTTTCAGTATAACACACGTGAGAATCCAAAACTGAACCAAGATATTTCAAATTTTGCACAATTTCAACTTGTTGGCCCTCAAGTAAAATTACTGAAATAAATGAACTTTTCCACGACATTCTAATTTATTGAGATGCACCTGTAGTTGAGGTGTGGACTTATGTAAATGATGACAGGATATTCATTTTCGGTTGAACTGTCCCTTTAAATCTTGTCATGGTCCTCTGAAATGTATCTGTAAGTGTTTAGTGACAGTAATAAAATATTACTGTGAAGGGAAGACACATCTGCATCAAATTAAAACAGATGACCTTTAGGGCAAATGACGCAAATGTTGTTACGACTACAAGGAGTGTTTACATTTTAATTATGAAGCTTCAGCCAAGCAGAATTAAAACAGATGTTAAATATTATCTGTGTATCTGCAACATCATCAACGCATCATCAAAAATAGCAATTTAGCAGTCATTGAAAAGACACAAATTAGAAAATCAAAATAAAATGTACCAAAAATAACACATCCAAGTCTAACGGACTGTATAGTAGTTTGATTTACAGTATACCATGATACTGAAAAATTAACATATCCATTGTGTATACAAAGAATATCATGGTACTAGCAGAATCAGAATCAGAATCAGAATGAGCTTTATTACCAGGTATGTTCTCACATACGAGGAATTTGTTTTCACGACAGAAGCTTCCGCAGTGCAACAGAATGACAGAGACAGAACAAAAACACAGATAATAAAAGAATAAAAAAGAAATAGAACAAGTAAATAAGGAATAACAATATATAAATTGACAATTGTATGTGCAGGTATATTACAATAGACAGTTTTCTTTCTTTACCATAACAAGACTTGGGGGGGCCTTCTCTCTAGGGAGAATTGTATGCACAAAGGAACCATTCTATGTATGGAAAACTGTATGGAATATGTACCCCACGCCTTAAAATCCAACCTGTATAAAAGGGGAGACAGAAAGACATTCTGGAGATGTTTTGCTGCAGAGAGCATCTCCGCTTTATTCTCATTGATGATGTAATAAAATGTA